GGATCGTTCTCTTAAATTTGAACATCGACCGTCAAAAATAGAACAATTTCAATTACATCACGTGACGGATTAAGCGAATGGAACGAGTCAAGTTCGGAATCATTAAAACTTTTTGAAATCGATATTCGATCCAGCTGTTATCCTGATGAAGAACCCAGAAGGGGTTAGGAAAACGTTTGATTTTTGAAAGAAAAAGTGACACATATCGGTTAAAGGTTCCGTAAGTCAGATTTATTATAGGGTACATCCATTCAGTATAATCAGATGGCCTTACAGTCATTATCTGCTATCTGTTATAATCCTCATAGCAGGTGGTAGATACTGACTTTCATGTGCTAATGAAATTAAAGTATGGCTGAAGAATGAGTGACTATTATGGATCAAGTTTGTTTATAATATTGAAGTCAGTTGCACACACAAACTATTGATATCTTATGTTAACTTTTAAACTTGATAAAGTTTAAACTAAAAATGCAATGAAATACAGTCTGAAGATAAAATTGAAAATGGAAAAAATGAGAACATTGAAAATAAAAATGCTCATGATAACTTTTGAAAATAGAGAGTAGTAAGTTTGGAAATAAGAAAAATATATGTGTATACAGTCGACCCCCCTATAACGCAATAGATACGTTCCACTTTATAAGAATTTCACGCTGTAGGAATCCTTAAATACATGAGTCAATCACAGCCCGGCATGTGTGCAGTTTATGGACTACGGCTGTTTGAAAGGTTTCTCCCATAAAATTAATCGATTCTAGACTAATTTGACTCAACATTTCCAAAATACGTATAATTTTTTGGGTATCTGTATAAACTATGCTATAAACAAAAAATTGTAGGATTACTTACCGAGTGTGCACCGTTCTTGCTTAAGCTTGCTTTCGTCGCGGAGCAGCGCACCGAATGGCGGGTGTGTTTTCTGATAAGTTATTTTTCTGCGAAAATTTCGTTGAACTTTGGAGACATCATTAATAGAAATAATTTTTATGGCCGTTGAATAAGAAATGTTTTTTCACAAGAAATGTATAAAATTACAGTACTGTATTAGACTTACAGTATCTAATTTATATACTGTACAGACGATAGTAAACTCAACTTACCTGCCTAAACTCTCCATAGTGTGTAAATAGTTCGGCTGCTCGTCCACTATTGGTCCAGATTCAACCAATCTGTCGTATCATGAGTCGGCGATGACATTTTACTGCATTTTACGACTCTCTTTTAGCATCTTTATACGAATATGGTCGCAATTTTTTCGCCGCAATATACAAATTCGTATTATATGAACCCACGTTATAGGGGGGTCGACTGTATTATAAATTTAATGATAAATCTGATCATGGAATTAAGTAGTCATTAAAAAATAGTACTGTAAATCTGAAATTTTAATTTGACAAAAATTGCTTGAAGGAAGTATTAATTATATTTTTACATAACTAATAAGTATATATTATGAAAATGCAGCAATTTATTAGAAAATTTATTACATTTTTCTGGATTGTATTTTTTAAAAAATGAAACTCTGAAGAAGAATAAATGAAAATTTATTGGAATTAAAGATTTGTTTTAAGAGTAAAAGTCTGATAATGGATAACAGTGTGGTAGATAGAAAGATAAAATTAAAGCAATGAAAGATCATCTTCCTTACTTTTCCAGCAAAACATATTTATTATAACAAATGTTTTCGGCCTCATTTAAGAGCCTGCTTCAGGTTTCAGATTACATCAAATAAGAAACCAAGTGTTTTCAAACTTTAACATTGTTTTGTTTAAAATAAAATAGGATACACAATATCATTTAAGATAAATTAAAGATCTACCAGTATTTGTGAAAATTTGTGTTTAAATTAAAGAACAAATTTTGATCTTCATATAAAGCAAGAGATTAATGATTACTTTGATTAAACTGATACATAATAGCATCAATGGTAAAAGGAATGCAAAGAAATATATTATAGATGTTTTCTTTGAAAGAAATTATTTTTTTTATATAAAATGAGAAAAGATTGACGTAACTTTTCAAATTGATTAAGAATCTTTATTAAAACAGCTTATGTGAAGAGAATTAATTTTAATACTATACAACAGTTGAAAGCCATTTTGGAATTAAAATTTGATGTTGAAGTTTTATCTATTATTTATTTAAATAAAAGTTTTCATGGTTTCTGGATAAGATTAGAAATACAAATGGTAACATATGTCCTGTTAAATGTCTTGTATCGTGAGAAAGGATAATATTAAACATTTTCATTAACAAAAATATTAAAATGTTATATTTGTATTTATGATGATGATGATGATGATGATGATGATGATGATGATATTTGTATTTATCAATATTGAAAATTTAAAAATTTTTTAAAATCTACATAGTCATCCTTGACAGGATGAATTTTAGGGATAAAGAATTTTGAAACAAAGTGACTATGATAAAGGAAAATAGTGATATAAGTGGTTTTTTTAAATATTTTTTTAAACAAAAATGTTTTGTAATATTTTATTGTTATTTGACACTTATTTATTTATTATTATTAATTTTTTATATAAATTTGATTTGACTTGATGAAATGTTAGGTATGTGAATTTGGTTTAGAACTAATCCTTTTGATTGTTTTAGAGTGAAAATATCTACTGTTTCAAAATTTCTTTATTTCCATATATTTTATTTTATAATTGAATATTATGCATGTTAAATTTGACATTATTATTTGGAAATTTATAATATAAGATATCCAATGTATAAATTTTATTTAAATTATAGGAATTAGGTGAAAAATATAAACTGTAATAAATATTATTTTAGGTAATTAATGATTAATCTGATAATTTTTATAGTAGGTGAGATAGATTCATATGTATCAACAGGAGAAGTCAATTAAAAATATTTTATTGAGGAAATTACAGTGTTTTTCTGAGACACTATAAAATATATTTCAACTAATATAAAAAAAATTTTTAATTTTGCAATTTAAATGTGTTCTCTTCATGTAATTTTGATCATTTTTGAGAATATCATCAGTATTGAAATGTGGAGCGGAAAAACTTCTTTGGAAATAAGATCGTATATAGAGGTATAATCTTTAATTATAAGAAAGTTTCTAATTATTAAAAATTATTTTTATTTTTATTATTTATCTAAATATGTGGCTAATGAGAGAACCAATGTATTTAATGTTATATCATTAAAATTATACAGAAGTAAACTTGTTATTTTCCTTGTGAAAGCAAAATATACATAATAACTGGAGATAAAGTAAAGTATATATATTAAGAATTTTCAAATAAATATTGAAAAAAATTAACATGTTAAGGTTTATTATTATTTATTATATTATATCTGCTGTAGAAGAAAATTATCTTAATATTTGAAGATAAACAAAGAATAAGAATGATATAAAAATTTTGATGTATTTATTCAAAAATCTTTTTATATGCTTATTTTCTATATTGAAATATGCATGGTATCTTACAGAGTATTGCAAGTATTGTTAAATTACAAATGTTTTGAAAAACAATTAAATATTTTTCTTTAAAAATTTTTTTTATTATATGTTTACAATCTTATAAAACATACATTGTCAATAATGTTATTTTAAGTTTTAGAAGTTAGTTAATTTTGGTTTACCTTCTGTAGACAGTCGATGGAAAGGATTCTCAAATGGATCATCTCACCTCCTGTAAGAAAGTTGGAAGATCAAAAAGACAACAGAAAAGCGTTAGTTTTAAACCAAATCCATCCATATTTTTTTCTCTTTATGATGATATATTCTTGTGAACTGCTTTTTCTCTAGAAAATCATTATTTTTCCATATTTTATTTATTTAAAAAAATTTTCAATGTTTTTTTTATGACAGAAAAGTTTAATTTTTCATAGAAATTTGCACTTTAAAAAACATATATGATTTGTAAATTGTATTTATTGTTTTAAATATTAATACAATTATTGATAAAAAATCCAATCTAGTTAGTGAAAAATACATCCCATTGTATATAAAGAAATACTCAGATGGGAAAAACATTTTATTTAATTACTGTATAAAATAATAATGATTCTTGAGCTTACTAATTCACTTTTTGACTGATTATGTTCTGTACTTTAATTTTAATTTCAAAATATAAATTTTTCATGTGAAAATCTATATGTTAATGTGTATACATTAAAACTCATGTTTCAACAAGAATAATTTGAATAACCATTGTGAAGGAAAATAATAAAAACTTAAAGGAAAACAAACAATAGAGAAAGAGGAAAAAGCCTCAATGCATTTTTATTAGATATAATCACCTAATGTCATTCAAATCCCATTCAGTTTATCTTTAAAATTTAGAAAAAATTTAGCTTTTTGAGACATATTAATGTTTCTAAATGTTTAGTAGACAATACAAAACATTAATTGATATACAATGTTACAAAATGACTTCATTTTCTTGGAAAAACTTATTAAATGATGATTATTTTTTATAATGATTGAATCCATGTTATAGAAGTGAAATTCATTAATGCTAAAACAAGTTTTTAAAGAGTCGTAAAGATTATTTTTTTATTTTGGAATTAAATGTTTTTTGAAATACCATCTCCCATCATTACATTTTGCTATTACAGATTGGAACAAGAATTCTAGAACAACTTATTTTGAATTGTTTTTGTTTTAAAATAGTATGCTAAAAATATTTAATTTCAAAATAAAAAGTGATCTGTTGTACTTCTCAAAAGTTGTTTTATTGTTAATGAACTTTATTAAACAATGGCTAATGAAGATGAAATAAATATTAAATGAAATTAGAAATGTTTGTAATTCAGTTGTAATATTTTTTAATTTTTTCCCATTTTTATATGTTATAGGCATATTTAAAAGTTTTGTATTTTTCCAGAAAATTTGTTTTCTGTCTTTATTTTAAAAATTATTTAATAATGCATCATAAATTTGTTTAAAAAATAACTAGAATGATTCAAAGTAAATATCTTTGAGTATCTATCATAAATATTGTTTTTACATTTATATCATACTTTAGCTATAATTTTTAACCAATGAGATAAAATATTATTACTGGGGTTTAGAATACTTCTAATTCCAGGAATATTTAATTTTTGTCTACTAAAAATAACATATAAATCTCAAAGGATGTTGAACAATCCAGTGTTTTTATATACACTACATTGTGTTTCAAAGTCTCATCATGAAGAAAAATTTTGTTTAAAAGAAACATAACTTTTGCCAAATAAAACATACCAATTTTCAAGGCAATAAATAAGTACTGCATATGTTTAGTGTGCTTGAAAATGATTCAAGAATAGTAATTAAATATAAATTTTACTGAAAACATTAGTTTTCAATAAAACTATCGCAGCAACAAGAAAGGTGTGTTGTGATAAGCTAATTATTTGCTGAGCATGTTCTGTTTAATATAAATTTATAAATAGAAAATATTTATTATAAAGAAAAAATCACAGGAATTCAGTAGTATGAAATTAAATTTATTATTTTTTCCATTTTATAAATTTCATTTTGAGGTTATTAGACGGTAAAAGCATTTCAAACATGATAATTTATTTTGCATTAGAAATTCCTCCATCAAGCATGACAGAATACTTTTTATGAGAAAGTAGAGATTTCAAGAAATTCAAGAAAAGAAACTAAGATCATTGGCCTTCATGTATCATTGAAGGTCTGTGTAACAGTTGTGGAATTTGTCTTTTCTAATTCATAAACTCAGTATGGGTTGTACTGGCTTTCCTGTTAATGTAGCTTTTTAGTTCATACATTCTTTCATCCAAAATAAAAAAAAAGTGAGTTGTTTTCTATTATTTCCTTTGTTTTTGTTGAAAGTTTCTTCATATGCAGGCTGCGCATAGCTTTTCTTTAGTGTGCTTTAGTCAGTGATTAACTTTTGTTACGCTTTTCTAGACAGTTTGAATGCTAGATGATTTATCTATCTGTATTAAAGTTGTAGCCATTTCACATGAAGTTCATTTTTCTTACTCGATTTTTCCTTTGTAGAATTTAATTATGCCAAAATAAAACTCTTTCTTCTTTTCATTCTTCTTTCTTTCCTTATTGGAAATATGTTTTGTACATTTAATGTCCTACCTAACCTGTGAAGAGAGATGCTTTTCATCTGGATTTATGGTAACATCATATAGTTCATATCTCAAAATTCTGTTGTTGGTCATAATTTCTTCATCTTTAAAATTATTTACTAGCTCTTTCAGTTTTGACTTTGGATTCTTTGACATTTTTAAAACTGGTAAGCTATCATGTCACCACCAGTTTTCACATCCCTTCCTCACCAATGTCACCACAAAAGAACAATGGAATCATCCTTATTATGTTACATTAGTAAAGTTTGATATCATGAAATCTGTAATTTATATAAATGATATGATATTGTGCAATAATTGATAACAAGCAATCAATATTATCAAAATATCAGTTATTAATTGATGAAATTCTATATCAAAAACAATTATAACAAATTAAAGTACTTAAACAGGTTTATTTCAATATTGTTTCATTATTCTACTTCTAAGACATAAAAATCGTAGAAATTTTATTATGTCAAGATTTGAAAAAAACTAGAAAAAACATAGGGTTAATAGACTTATTTGAGCCAATATGATATATTAAAAATATAAATGTACTTACTTTGTGATAAAATGGCATCAGAAAGTAGAGATACCTAATGGAGATGCCTATTTATACTGCTTTTAAATCACCTTTAGTCAATTGATTTTTTTCTAACCAATTACTGGAAGACATTTAAAATTTTGGAAAGGATTCATTTTCAGATTTAAATCAGAATTGTTTACAGTTGAAATTTGCCACCCATTCAAAAATATAATTTTAATTTATGAATTTGAAATGAATGGGAATCCAAGGAGATCAGTTGGAAATCATTTAACTGCTACTACTGGAATCAAACTTATTTAAATTACAAATGAAATTCATTGACAATTTCAAAGTTTGTTGGCATCAGGCCAGTAAATTGAATAACTTTGTAAATTTTGATATTAATTCCTGATACCAGTAATATTGTACATTAGTAATATTAGCCAGTATTCATTTTTCCAACTTTGTTATTGGAAATGCTGTTTCGATAATTATTCAATACTACCAAGCATCACTATTTTACATCAGAAAAATGTATTCAAATATCAAAATATCAAAAAAATTATTACTTAAAAATTTTATAATATTGATTAATAACAAATTTATAATTAGAAATAGAAAAATATACAAAATATACTCAATTTAGGTACAAAAAAAAAGGGAAAAGGTATCAAAAAGTGTTTAGTCGTGGAAATGGGGAGTACCCCAACTTCTTAACTTAAAAACATAACCTTAGTTACTATTGCATGCATTTTTGTTATTTGGTGATGCAGAAATTAAAGATTATAGTTATTTCTTTAGTAATGAGCTTAAAAATAATAATCAGTAGTCCAAACTGTAGTGCTTCACTTTATGTATTTGGGAGAAAAATAGTATTGAATAGTATTATAATGTTATCACATATAAATGTTTTTTCACAATTATTTTCAGAAAGAAAAGAAATCTGATGCTATATTCTTCCATTATATTAACTTTCAGTGTACAGAGTTATATATAATTTCAAACACTAAATTTATTATATCTGTAAATATTTAGTCAAATAATGGGATCTGTACAGTATAATTTGATGAATTATATACTGGAAACTTGTAAATTAAACATATAAATGACCAAAGTTCTTGATTTTACTATTAGATTCAGCAGCAGCTTTATATGTCAAAACAGAATTGTTTGTGGTTAATAAATCAACAATGCTTATGACACCCTTACAACAGGTGAATTAATTAAACATTACAGTCTTCAGAGTTAAATGCTGAAACTGCAGTTTGGAAATATTGTCAATTCATGACTTATGACAGTATTTGTACTAGATGCATAGTGCAGAATCTTGTATAGAAATTTTAAAAATTTACAAATTTAAAAACCAAACTTAAAAAACATTAATATGTTAGTATCATTTCTTCTTTATCTGCATTAATCAGACTCAGATGCACAGCTAAGGAAAATTTAGTAAAATCTTTTTATTTACACCACTATGCATTTGGGTGATAACTATATTTTTTATCCCTCTTCAGGCTACAAAATTAAAATATTACAATTTTACTTATCTTTGTTACAAATTATAGAATTGTATTTTTGTTACAAATTATAGAACAGATATACAAATACTGACCTTTTTTATTTTACTATATGAAAAAATGTTCTTGAACCATTGACAGGTTTGACATTTCCATTTGACTAACATTGACTGTAACATTTCATATTTCTCATTACATCCAATCATATGCCATCTATTTCCATACCATTGTTTAAATTTATAGTGTTTATTAGCATAAATTTTATGAGATTAAATCTTCAATTTTTATAAATTTATCAAAATATACATTTTAAAGTTTTAAAATATATATA